AATAATATCGAAAGGATATTTTGTCAAAAAAACTAATTTCAAGTAGAATTTAAGTTGTTTTGAGAAACAGGAAGTCAAACGAATAATATCGCAAGAATATTTTATTGTAAATTGTTAATATATATATAATGAGTAAGACTAGTTGTATAAATAATATTACAAGGATATTTTTGTCAAAAAAAAACTAATTTTAAGTTGAATGAGTTAGAATTTAGGTTGATTTAAGAAACTGGAAGTCGAATGAGCAATATCGCAATAATATTTCATCATAAAGGTATAATGAGTAAGACTAGTTATATGAATAATATTGCAAGGATATTTTTGTCAAAAAAAACTAATTTTAAGTCGAATGAGTCAGAATTTAAGTTGATTTAAAAAACTGGAAGTCAAATAAGCAATATCGCAAGAATATTTTTTCATAAAGGTATATCAAAATCGGATGAGTAAGGATTAGTTGATTTGAGATATATAAAAGTACTAATTTTTCAATTAACTTTCTTTAGGAAGTAGCAATTCCTTAAACATCTTATTATTTTCCTTAAACATTTTCTTATTTTCAAAAAAAAACACATTTTTTTTAAAAAAAAATAATTATTTAATATTTCCTTGCATAATAATTTCTTGCATGCATGTATAATTTATTAATTAATTATATAAATTCTATTTTCGCATTTACCAAATCTTTATTAATCAACTTTTACATTTTCTTTAATAGTATAAAAAAAAGAATTAAGTAAACAATATCCAAAGAAACAAGCGAAATAAGCGCAATAAGCACAACAAGCAAAACAAATGAAACTTAAATCTAATGAAGAGCCTAAAGTCCTAGAACATAAGTTGATTATATCATATGGGAAGTTTGCTAGAAAAATGGGACTCTGAGCATTTTTTATTAAAATTTTAATTTTTATTGAATTTTAATTTTTGATAATGTTAGATTAAAATGCAATAAAAATTAAAATTTTAATAAAAAATGCTCAGAGCCCAATTTTTCTAGCAAACTTCCCATATTATATACATTTGATACTCATTTAAATTTCCAATTATAGATCAAGTGAATATTGATGAATTGCGAAAATGATATGTAGACATTTGGCTCCTATCAAAATTCTAACGCAAATCGATAGCAGCTTCTTCAGCTTTAGTAGAATGATAACTATTGACGAATCTGATGATTTACAAACTGGTATCAATTTGTCTCATTCTCCGATTAATAAATATAGTAATCTAACAATGTATTTCTTATATTCTTATATAAAAAATCGAAAGCTGAAGGAGTAACTCGATAATTTTTGCAAAATGATTGAGTAATTTGAACGCAAAAATTTGATATCTCCTGCGAAAATAAATGACTAAAATCTGAAAACTGATTCCTTGCTGAAATTAACGATAAATTCAGCAGGAAAAATGACGATTTGCAGGAGAGATAAAATTTTATTTGAGAATATTTATTTTAATAATTTTCTTACCACTTCTTTTTTTTGATATTTTAGGCTTGATCAATTTGTGAAAATTCGGCTGCTCAAATTGTAAGACAACTGAAAGACAGTTTCAGCGATGAGCCTTCTGCTAAATGACGAAAAGTGGAAGGCAAGAAGCCAGTCTGTTGTACTGATGATGAAATGGATTACAAATCGACGAAAATTGTCTTTGAGGACAATAGCAATTCATCAGTAGAAGAATCCAATGCGAAAGAATCCAGGGTTATACATGAAGTCGAAATGAAAACCCAAAAAGTCGAAATGTTTCGACTTTGGAGGTCAAAGTCGAAATGAAAAGTCAAAATAGTCGAAATTACATCATATCACATGATTTTTTATATATAGAAAAAAAAAACAAAAGATGTACGATCTTGGTCAATATCGCACCGATTCATATGAAACCACTACCATTCGATTCCTCGAAACTAGATGAATCCAATGAGCTAATATTTATTGATTTTAGATCATCCCATCACGAGATATTTGCGATCGTATTTCGAAATCCAGACTCCTTTATTTAAAGTAGAATTTATGGATTTATAATTTCAGTCGATAATACAATTGCGAGTATCTCGTAATTGGAGTATCCAAACTTAATGAATGTTAGCTCATTGGATCTGTCTAGTTTCGAGGAATCGAATGGTTTATTTTTATTTATTTTTTTTATTTTAACGATGCAGTACTGCCATAATTTTATTAAAGTTTTTTATAATATACTAAATAAAAATTACAAAGTAGGAAAAAACAACCAAACTATGACTATCTCCCGTAATTCTATTGCTAATAAAAGCTCAAACCCATTTAGATCGACTGATCTTCAGAATCCCTCTCTGACCTAACCAAGTAATCCATATTTAATGACTGAGCCGTCAACAAGAAATTCAAATGAAGTTGTTAATACAGCAACATAATTTCTAAATGCCCTTCGATCCCAACTTCTAAATAAAATTTAAAAACTAACAACCCTCCTAAGAAGGAAAATAGGTACAAATAGAAATTATTAAAAAAGACAAATACAACTCTATAAAAACCTAAATGTCTGGGTAATTCCAGATATAATGACCACCTGACCAAAGAAGATGCGTCCAAAGAAAAGTCCAAACATTGGCTCTTCATACTTGTAGATTCACAAATACAGAAAAAATATCACGCAGAATCCACTACGAGAACCCTATAATGAAGCAACAGATAGTAACCTATACTCTCTATCTGGTTACCAGAAAGGAACGGATCTAGACGAAGCAGACTTATACTGAGTAAGCAAATGGCAATAACCATCTAGAGCTCCATTTAAAACTACAGTAGGCCAACAAAATACAAACCAAGTGGTAGCTACCATCACACCATACATAAGACCTCATGAAGAAACAAAATAATAATTCACGCTAGATTTGCACGTGATCTTCGACGATAGAGAATCTGCAGAAAGGCAGAGGCCAATCAAAAGAGAGTATATTGTTTAAAATGAGGAAAGGTGTCATCACGTGAGATTTGTTTATCCAAAGTATGTCGATTATGATCATCGGTTGGGATACCCCTTGATGCTCACTTTTGAGTAAGCAAAAAAGAAAAAGAGAAAAACGGAAAAAATTTTTTCGAAAAGAGGTGAAGGAAAAAATATTTTAACAAAAAACAACACTGTTTAGACTATTTCAAAAAATTTTATGTGGATAGGGGTATGGGGAACAAAGAGAGAAATATTTTTGAAAGGTGGGGTTTTTTTGTTTATTCACAGGCTAAGCCGCGGCTACGTTGAACGGGCACTTTTTTAAGTAAAAATTCTTGGAAAAAATCCAACGAGGAATAGTAAGGAATCGAATAAGAGGAATCGAATGGTAATTGTTTCATATGAATCGGAGCGATATTGACTGAGATCATACATCTTTTTTTTATTTTTTCTATATAAAAATCATGTGATATGATGTCATTTTGACTATTTCGCGACTTTAGTCTCCAATGGTCAAAATGATTTCGACAGGGGGTCTCACTGCCCTATCTCAGTTGGTAACAACTGAGACCTATTATAGGTTACACTGCAAAAGACCCTAGTTCAGCCCTGGCCAAGGTAGATCATAATAATTTAATTTACGGGATTTATCAGTTCGATTCTGGGAATGAATTTCATAGGATACGTACAAATTATGTACGTTGAAGATCATGAATTTGTAGAATATGGTAACCCTGAAATGTCTTTAAGGTGTGATAATAGCTATCACTAAATGGTGTAAGTTCGCTTCGTCTAAATCTATACCATTCTGACAACAGGTAGTGGTTAAAGATGAGGGACGAAACTCAAAAAAGGCAATTAATAAACAGCCGAAACTATATTAAAACATAGTGAGGGGTACGATGAAACCCCGAAACCCGAAATTAGCCGAAACTATATTAAAAACATAGTAAGGGATATGACGAAATTATTTTGAGAGAGTTTCGGCTAGCATCTTTAGTAGTGGTAATAGATATTCTCACCTATCGTGAACTAATTGAGTTTAGAACCGATAGTGGGAGCTGGTCTGTAATGGACAAGTGTCGCATTATCTGCAAAGGGTACCTGTAAGGGTAGGTCAATAGTAGACATTGTATAACCTGATTGAACAATAGTCGTAGGTTATAGGTAGTTGATATTGCACTGTCTTCAATCATTGTGATGTCTATATCACAACTAAGGTTTGGAGGCCTGGGTTCGATTCTTGGGGTGATTTTGATGTATGGTGAAGCAACTATAGTGTAAGCTATCATCTTAGGTTGTTCTTGACCCTCTTTCCAGTAGTTGTGATGAATAATGAATGATGGCCAGGTACCATATCTCTCTACCCTGAGGGTTCATTTGTTTGGCAGTTTACTCAGATATTGACACTCATTCACCTAGGTTTAACGCCAACCCACACTGGTTTGAAATATAGTAAAGGGGTTAATAGTGGAATTAAAACGTGTTGTAAGATGTATCATTCTGTTGAAAGGTATACATCCAAATATAGTATCACTTGTGCGTGTCTAGTAAAAGTATCAAAAAAAAAAATGATTTTAACTATTTCGACTATTTTGGATATCCAAAATAATCCATTTCGACTTCATGTATAGTTTTGATGATTCATTGCAGCTGGATCATATCAAAAAATGGTCTGAAATTGTACGTCATGTTTCAAAATATATTATGAAGGAGATTTTAAAGCTCTGGCAGTAAGATTTTAGTTTAAAGAAGTGGAATTAAAGTAGGTTTTGCAAAATCTACACTGCCACTATAGAGAAAATTGGATTGTCAGTCTTGATTCAAACAAGGTTAAGGCTGAAAGAAAAGGAAAGAAATAAATTCTCAAAGAAAAGATGTAAGTATTGGAGATTACTCATGAGATGATATTAGCAATCTAATAAGTTCTAATGTATTTTGATTAACAACAGAAAAAAGAACGACAATAAAAAGGTATTGCTCATATATTTAATATCAATGATTTATCACTTGCGGAGTTTCAACCGTCTTCTCTATCTCTGGATGACTTCAAGAAGGATTGTGAAACAATAATGAATGAGAGAGAATATTACAGTGACAAAGTCACTGAAACTGATGAGAAGCTTACCAAAAAGGAGATTGAAGATCATGTTCAGCCTAAAGCCAAAAAATCATCAGATAGTCATGTCCTTCATGTTTACGACGAATCTTGGGATCACACTGTGTAAGTTTAAATAAAATGAATCACAAAAAGATTTGTTTATTATTATTTTATTATTTAATAGGTACGAGAATTACTTCGTTTGTCTGATAAAGTTGGTAAAAATATAAGTCATGTGAAAGTTTCACGTCGTCGCTGATACGAGGATGAAAGATGAACTAATAAATCCAAACCTTCAGAAAATGCTCCGGAATGGACTATTTCGCAGTTATACCATTCTGACCATACAGATGATGATAATAAAACAGACAGCAAATATCAACAATTGGAGGTCAACAAATCAATATTTCATTATTAGCTATTTTTTCATTAATTAATATATTTTATATTTCTTTATTAGCATAGCTGATAATGCATTTTTAATATATTTTATATATTTTTAAATCACATAATATGTAGTTTTATTAGATAGATCATTGCTATATATATATAATAATTGTAACATATTATATATATCTATTTCTGTCTGATGTATATCGTATCATTTAATGGTATTTATATGATAGTTTAAATAAATCTTTAGGATATTATATAAATGTAATAAAATTGTTAAAAATCTGACATTATCATAATTTTTATCCTATTTATATCTGATGTTTCAATAAATTTCAAAATTTTCAGTTATAAATCGAGTATAAATCAAGTAAATGTTAGAAACTTATCAATTAAAAATTATAAACCCGATTCTTCACTAATAAACATTTGATATTCATGAAGTATTTGTAACCAGTTGTAGCCAGAAATGCTACAAGACTCTGCGTTCAATCAGAATTAAATATTAGAACAATAGAATAGCAAAATCAGTGAAGAATCAGTAAAGAATCAGGTATCTGATTTTTTACCAATACTTCATTATTTGACCTGTGCTGCTTAATGAATTGTTTAAATGTAGCTGGTATAGCAGTAAAATTTTAGCTTCTAATCCAGATATGATACTCCTTGGTAACATTTTCCTCATCTATGATTCTAATTGTTTTCTGATATTTTTCATGTTTTGATATTTTTAGAAGCTTATTATTAAGTAACCAATATTTTGTCAAATGCTGAATTTTTTTCACTTTCCATACATCATCATTAATAAAAATCTTTTGAGCAACCTCTAAACTAGCATTAATTCTTCCATGTTTGTTATTATCATTCAATAAGATAAGGTATTCAAAAATAGCTCTTTTGTAATTATACTCAACGATTGTTAATTGATTATGATGCTTTTCTAACTGCTCTTTTAATTCTTGTAATTTTTCACTTATTCAATAGGTATATTGATTAATAATTTCACTTTTAGAATCACTTGAAGCATCTATTTCGATGGATTCAGATGATTGTGAATCTGTAGCCTAAGTATCATTATTCATAAAAAACTCTTGATTTTTTTAGTATCAGCTGCTACTTTAGTAAATAAGTCATTTGGTCCATATTTATCATAATAGGTTGACTTTGGTGTCTTGCCTATCTTATATGGCCCTCGCTTTGTTTTTTCTAATCCATTATCATTTTTCCATACTAGATCAGGTCCTTTTAATCTTTAATAGAGTTTACTTTCATCTTCCATATTTTTTAAATCATCCCATCAACTATCATCATCATCACCCCACTCTTCTTCACTTAAAAACTCAAAATTAATACATTTATTATTTTCAGAAATATCATTGAAAGAGCAATCTGAAGAACCATTATCATTATTACCAAAAGAATTGAAATCATCATCAAGACTATCACTAAAGGAATCAAACAAGTTAATATTATAAGACACAGTAACTGCGCTATCTACGTTATACCGACCATAATCATTTTTTTTGTAAATTTTTTTTTCATAATTATTATTAATTGGCATCAAGGATGCAAATAAATTCTGATCCTATTTACATGCTTTTTAGCATCATATTTACCATCTGCTATATATGGTTGGTCTTTTGATTTTCTTTTCTATCTAGAAAGAGGTGGCATTTTTTTTAAAAATTAACAATAAAAATCAAAGATATGTTTAAACGAATATTCTAAAGGTAAATCGTATATACGAATATATACAAATGTAATTATTTAAAAATTACACATAAAAGTTTGACACAAATGAGAATGAAAATTAATTGATCACGTGATAAAAATCTCGCATTTTTATTGGTTGAATGCTAAATATACCCCTGTAAAAACCTTTACAAAATCAGTCCGAATCTGTTTAATTACTAATAATGTATCTTATTTTTAAATCCTAATAACTTTTTAAATAATTAAGCTAATCAAAATGTAAGCCGATTTTTTAAAAGAACATAATTTAAATTATATAAAAATCAGTTTGATTTTTTAATAATATATAAATTGAAAGACTAAATACATTTAGAATCTAAGCTAAATTTTAGATGCCTTTAGATGTTATGCACTGTTACAGAGTGATTATAACAAGAAAAATATGGCTCAGTAAATGATCAACATGTTTCACAAAATTGATCTACTAGAAGATTTACAAAAACGATCTACAGAA